ACAGTATATTTTTGAAAAAGAACAAAATTACTAGCAATACATTTTAATAAAATAATACCAGCAATACATTTTTGAAAAAAAAAAAATTACCAGCAATACTTTTTTTTTTAAAATATTATCAGCAATACTTTTTTTGGAAAAAAGTATTACCAGCAATATTTTTTGAAAAAAAAATATTACCAGCAATACTTTTTTGAAAGACAAAAATATTACCAGCAATAATTTTTTTGATATACAAAAATATTACCAGCAATACTTTTTTTGGAAAAAACAAATATTACTAGCAAAACATTTTTGAAAAAACATTATTAGCAATAAAAATCTTGTCGGCATTAAATAACCCATTGAGGTTGATATGCCGTAAAACAAACCAAACCAAACCAAACAAATAAATACTGAAATAGATAGATTAAAAATATTACCAGCAATAAAAAATATTGACGGCATTAAATAACCCATTGAGGTTGATATGTCGTAAAACAAAACAAACCAAACCAATATATACTGAAATAGATATATTAAAAATATTACCAGCAATAGAAATCTTGTCGGCATTAAATAACCCATTGAGGTTGATATGTCGTAAAACAAAACAAACCAAACCAATATATACTGAAATAGATAGATTAAAAATATTACCAGCAATAAAAAATATTGACGGCATTAAATAACCCATTGAGGTTGATATGTCGTAAAACAAAACAAACCAAACCAATATATACTGAAATAGATATATTAAAAATATTACCAGCAATAGAAATCTTGTCGGCATTAAATAACCCATTGAGGTTGATATGTCGTAAAACAAAACAAACCAAACCAATATATACTGAAATAGATAGATTAAAAATATTACCAGCAATAAAAAAAATATTGACGGCATTAAATAACCCATTGAGGTTGATATGTCAAAAAAACAAAACAAACCAAACCAATATATACTGAAATAGATATATTAAAAATATTACCAGCAATAGAAATCTTGTCGGCATTAAATAACCCATTGAGGTTGATATGTCGTAAAACAAAACAAACCAAACCAATATATACTGAAATAGATAGATTAAAAATATTACCAGCAATAAAAATCTTGTCAGCATTAAATAACCCATTGAGGTTGATATGCCGCAAAACAAAACAAACCAAACCAATATATAATGAGATAGGTAGATGAAAAATATTCCCAGGAATAAAAATCTTGTCGGCATTAAATAACCCATTGAGGTTGATATGCCGTAAAACAAACCAAACCAAACCAATATATACTGAAATAGATAGATTAAAAATATTACCAGCAATAAAAATCTTGTCGGCATTAAATAACCCATTGAGGTTGATATGCCGTAAAACAAAACAAACCAAACCAATATATAATGAGATAGATAGATGAAAAATATTCCCAGGAATAAAAATATTGTCGGCATTAAATAACCCATTGAGGTTGATATGCCGTAAAACAAAACAAACCAAACCAATATATACTGAAATAGATAGATTAAAAATATTCCCAGCAATAAAAATCTTGTCGGCAATAAATAACCCACTGAGTCTGATATGTCGTAAACCAAACTAAACCAAGTCCGCCCCTTGGTCATTATATATCCTAGAAATTTCAATTGTCTCTGATTCTAGCTGTCCTTTTCCCGCCATTTTACTTAAAACCTTCTCGTTGCTTACATGTTCCAATGACGGTATTCTCAGCATCCTTCTATAGAACAACTACTTGTGGTTTCAATTCTCCCCTTCATCTGTGTAAAAATTATGCCCCATTCACTGCTATCCAGTCGGACAAATATTAGATTTGCTTATCACCCGGTTCACATCAATCTTCGGTCTTTTAAACAGGAATAAAGGTTTATCCTGCTTAGGACTGGATTTCCAGTTCCTTTTAAAGTATTTTTCCTTCTTAAACTTCCAGTAGCCCCTTGTGTTTTAGCGGCGTTATCGCTTTGCTTGAGGTGAATTTATTAAATAATAATAACAATAATAAAGAGTTCGGTACTCTTTTGTTTTTTTCTAAGGAGATTTGACTTTAAAAAAAAATATTTTGCTTAGCTTTTGGAAGGCATCTTATGCTATTTCATTGCCCTTTCGCATATCTATACAGTAGAAATACTCCGTTTGGCAAGCCCGTTAATTTTTGCTGGAGAAAATTGGTTTCAATATTGCATGAATATCGGAAAAAAGCAAACAATCATTTTAGCGAAAATGGCTGAAAATCACAAATCAGTGAAATGGCGAAACAACATAGCTGAGTTTAGGGAAAATGGTGGCTGAAGCAGATTCAATCAATTGGGCGACGTTGGCGAAGAAAACAACAGAAACGGAAGGTTAGCTGGCAATAACTTGTGGAAAAGTAGAGGCTATGAAGAAATCACGGATAACAATGAAGAAATAATTAAGACACGAGAATGGAAAAGCAGAAAAAAATGGAGCAAACAAAAAAAAAAAAACGAGGTACAAACAAAATGTAGAATGTCGGAAATGTGATAAAATCATACTTATTATAAAACCCAGGTTGTGTGTGTGTGTGTCTGTTCGTTTAGATATTGGATCGGATTTCCTACATTTTTCAACTGATTTCAACAAAACTTCACAGGACTACGAAAAAATAACCTTGCGGTGGTTCTGACAGCGCCAAAAATTGGAAAAAACACAATTGTTTTTGCACGAAATCAATTTGAAAACACGATTAAGAGGCATCACGAGAATGAAAGGGGGACAACTCATATCGAGTTATACTTATTATAAAACCCAGGTTGTTTGTTTGTGTGTGTGTGTGTGTGTGTGTGTGTGTGTGTTCGTTTATATATGGGATCGGATTTCCTACATTTTTCAATCGATTTCAACAAAACTTCACTTTTCTTTTTGGCAGGTAGTGTTTCTTATTGTCTTGCACACTTTTTTCTTTATTTTTACATTCAGAATGCTTTAAAAATTCCATTTACAAGACAATTGTTTATAATAAAATTCTATTCAATCGGTAGACTCATAACGATTGAAAACAATGCTTTTGTTTGAGTTTGAGTTTGACCAATTCGTAAAAAAAAAACCCAAAAAACAAAAAAAGCTAATTAAGACATGCGTGTCCGTCAACCTTAAACAATAATCTTTGTGAATTTTATTTTTCAGTCTTTATGATGGTCGATACTTGATCTATCTCTTACATCCCCGGGCAACACCGGGCTTTACTGCTAGTATTGAATAAATAAACAGAAAAAAATGGAATGTGATAGAATAACGAAGAAAAACATTCCTGAATTACATACAGAGAAATGAATGTCAGAAATGTAATATAGAATGAAAAAAAACGAGTTACATACAAAAAATTGAAATGTGATAGAACATTGAAAAAAAAACCCGGGTTACAACCAAATAAAGAATTTTGGAAATGTGATATTGAATAAATAAGCAGAAAAAACCGAGGTACAGTAACAAAGCATCTCGACTTCATTCACTTTCTAACCGACGTAACGTGACTTGTCTTTGATTATTCTACAAATATTTTGATGGCAACTGATCTGATGAGCTTTTTTTTCCCTGGTGTCCCGACTATATGGATTAAGCGTGCTGCTAAACTAACATGTA